TTTTTTTTTTTTTTATTTGAACATACGTTTATTACGCCCGAGAATTGATACAATAATATAATTAAAAAGAAAAAAAACCAAAACGTACAAAAAGGTTATACATGAAAACTTAGCCTATGAGATCGATGGCTCCAACACGAAGCACTCGCGATCTTACCTATCTCTCAAGCACTGTCTCTCAAGAAGAAGCGTCTCTCAAGAATCGTCTCTCACGAATTCTCTCTCACCAATCGTCCCTTAACCATTTCTGCCTTCTTTATATATTCCCTAAAAAGCCTACCCCAACACGACCAAATATGGTCATGCTAAGGGCCTGACGCATTTTTCCGAATGACCTGGCCCTCGAACCCTCGGCGACTTTCCAAACCAAAGTCACCTACACACGAGGTGGGCATTCTGCGATACTACACTATTGTTTGGTGCAGTTTATGGCTAATTTAATTTTGAAACTCTAACACAACGCTAATACTAAACACGGTTTACTCTACGCACTCTAACTCTGACACTGACTATGATGCTCTGACCATAAACTCTAACTCTTCACACACTACACTGACACTCACTCTCGAACCCTAAAAATATCCTACAATTATATATAATAGTTGCGTTTGAAATGATTATAAATTTGGATTCAAAATTTCTAGTTTAGTTCTACTTTGACAGTTTGCACTATGATGACGAGTCTAACTCGTCACGAATTCGTGTCAAATCTCATAATTATAATCTATCTGAAAAATTGTTATATTCTACACGTTTTAACATGCGAGAAATTCGAATCTAGTTTTATTCTGCATCGAATTGGTATGTAGTGGTCAATTAAAATTGGATGTTACTTCAACTCATAGTTTTTCATAATTAAATCGTAGTGTAAGGAGTCAATACGAGTATTAGTTTAATTTCCAATCTAAAGAAACTTTATTACAAAGTAAAAATTCAATGTAACTTAGATAAAAATTGAAAGAAATAATCACGAAATTAACGTCGTAAAATAATAAAATTATGAGAATAATTATTAGTCTTCCACGACTTAAGGTCCTTGTCAGTTATATTGAGCCATTCTTACTGGTGCTGAGCTTTCAATCGATATAAGGTTCATTGCAAAATAAAAATTCGGCAATATGAATAGAAATTAATAAATTATTGCAAACCCATGTATTTGTTGATATTATAAAAATTTATTATGTGTTGAAATCAAAATATTTACAAATTTAAACTAATAAACATTATTATTGATACGGATTTTAAAACATATGTGGAAAAGAAATAATTTTTATTTATAAGAGATACGTCTGTATTTGTCGAGATACGTATATTTTTGTGACTTTCTGTGTATACCTGAAGAATTATTCAACTCTACGTTAAGAAAACGATATTTTACGTTAGTGGAAAATATGTTAAAGAAGACAGTTTTATCTACCTCATGTGGCCACTAGGTTGGCATTATGGCCTACCATTTTTATCTTCTCAAGATCATTTCTATTCTACGAGTATGGAACGTAACGCATGGAAATTATTTTTTATATTTTAATGTGCTTTGGAGGTTATTTGTGCGGAAGATATTCTGTAACTCTTAAAAAATATGGTCCAGTAAAAACAGTATCAAAGAAGATATCGAATAATTTATAGCTCGCAGTTATGTACATGTAGAATAAGAAAATTCTTAAAAAATATATAAAACCAGTAATAAATAATTTAAAAATGATTATCTTAAGGCACAGTTTATAGCAATTGAAATAAAATTGATAAATTAGTAATTGAAAAATATAAATACATTAAATATATTAAATAAACATATATAAAACGTATTGAAATATGCTTCAAACAAACAGCTATAGAAATTGTTTTGGACAGTAATATAAATTATCATATACATAATAATTTATTATACTATATTATACTATATTATATTATACATAAATATAAATGCAATATATATAATAATATATTGTTTAAGATAACTTGTAACAATGCAATAATTTCATGGATATTATTAAAATTTCTGCTTCTATTTAATTTTGCAGCCAATACTAGCCAGTACGCGCATTACGTCTTTAACACCTTGGATCAGGATCATAGCGGCATTCTCAGTTTTGAGGTGAGTACCACCACTGATTCTAAATAACAATAGACGTGAAATAGTACCCAAAGATTAGATGCAATTTTATCAGAATTAACCCAAACGAAGAAAAAGTTATAAAACTAAAAAATAAAATAAAATTAACAGCAATCTGATAATTGTGCTCATTAACACAAATACACGTGAACAGTAAACTAAAGTTTTCTAATTCTAAAATACTTCGAATTTTAATACCTTAAAATAATTTAAATTAAAATCTGTTCGAAAATCTCTTTCACATGCTATAAAGAACAGAAATGGCATGAAAGAATTTCAGATTGTAATTAAACAAAGATTCATCGCGAATATCAAAATGTTTGCTCAAGAATTGAATTAAGTTCAATTCAAACACGTCATTATTAGCAAAGAATCGGAAAGATGTGCGAATAAGGGTGACGAGTCAGTGTCGATCGATTTTCAACAAAGCACTCAGCTCTGCCTCCCGAGGAAAGAAATGAATCACTTTTGAATCTAATTACTAGAAAAAGGTACCAACTCTCGGCGTTAACTACATTTAAAACCAGAATTATGCTTGCAGAAAATTTCATTATCCACTTGATGGGGTGCAAACTCGTAGGTAACAACAATTATTCGTTATGAGCTTTCGTTGTTATCATTAAACAACTTTATTTCCATTAATTGATCTTATTAAATGAAAAAAACCTGATTAAGTTTAATAACCATACATTACAGCATTTTTGTTGTTGGAATCCTGACTACTAAAACTATTAACTAAAACATTTAAAGTTATACATTTGTAAATAAATATATT